CACTGCACTCCAGTCTGGGCGACAGAGTGAGACTCCAACTCAAAAAAAAACAAACAAACCAAAATACCTACCATTTCATGGGTCTTCAACAAAATAGATTTAAAAAAGAAAATACAAACATGCCCACAAACATCAGTTAAAGTGCAAAACAAGATAATCCAACATAAAGAAATAAAAGTTGCAATATCCACATGAAAAATTAATTCTCATGAGTAACAGCGAACATCAGAGGTTCCATGAGGCAAAGATGATGTTCCTCAAGTCCTGTTGCTTCTTTACAATCACAAAGCAGCATTCATTCTCCCTTCTCCCACTCCTCCCCATTTTTATCCAAGAAGTGGCATATGAACTGTAGTTCAGCATTTTGTTTTCACTTGAACACATATCCTGAGGCATCTCTGAAGCTCTTACTTCTCCTCCTCCTCCTCCCACAAGACCCTGAGGCAGCCGCTTCACCAGTCCCTCCCCCCGGCCACTGGCTGCCTCACCTCTCACTACTGCAGAAAAGACTGCCCCTCAGCACGCTTAGTGTCTTGGGTTCTGGGGTGGGCAGGGACTGTCTGGTATTGCCAAGAGTCCAGGAGGGACAGAATACTCTGTGCCCTCTTGGGGTGGAGCACCTGCTTCCCTGCTGGCCCCACCTGAGGCAGGTGAGTTGCCTGGCTATTGTCTGCTTTTCTCTCCCTGCTCTCACCTGTGTATTTCTTAGGTCTTCCTTCATTTCTCTGTAGATGAGCCCTCACAGGGGCCTCTGTCCAGACCCTGACCTAATGCTGACTGCCCTCTTGGTCCCCACAGGGTCTCTTAATCATTTCAAGGGGCTTCTGTCCCCACCTGTGCCAAGCTCTGCCCAAGAAACCAGAGATCTCCGTAAGTCCGTAAAGCTGCAAGCCCAGCCCCAGCTAGCAACTCCCACAGGAGCCTCCTGGCCTCAGTCTTGACTCTGTCTACATAGCAACTGCATGCTCACTTTATGCCAGGGATTAGAGCATATCTCCATGCCCTGCACAGCCTGCAGGTCCTCCCTCCTGCTTAGTACACCACCCCATCTGCAGAGCCCCCCAAATCTCCCAGCAAAGGCCTGCCGTCTAGCTGTCCCTGCAGAGAAGGGATGCTCCCTAGGGCCAGGACTAGGGTCCGACACACAGCAGTGCTCAGGGAATACGTATGGATGACTTGGCAGCAGGTGTATACCGCCATAAACTGGTAGGATGAGAGTCGCAGAACCCTTTAAGAGGAGTTTAACTTTTTGACAACATAGTTCCCTTGGGATTCACTCTAGAGAAAGTTAGATGTATGCATGGTTTGAAGCTGCTCATCACAGGGGAACCCAAAAATCTAACCAAAAGAACTAGTCCAACAGCCAGAGGACTCCATGACAAAACAAAGCAACGTTCACCATGACATCAAAGACAAACACTTCATGGGCCAGGCGCGGTGGCTGACACCTGTAATCCTAGCATTTAAGTCCAAGACCAGCCTGGGCAACATAGCAAGACCCTGTCTCTACAAAAAAAATCAAAAAAATCAGCCAGGAGTGGTGGCACATGCCTATAGTCCCAGTTACTCGCAAGGCTGAAGCAGAAAGATTGCCTGAGCCCAGGAGGTCAAGGATGCGGTGAGCCATGATTGTGCCACTGCGCTCTAGTCTGGGCGACAGTGAGACTTTGACTTTAAAAAAACAGAAACCCGCCGGGCTTGGTGGCTCAGCCTGTAATCCCGTGCCTTTGGGAGGCTGAGGTGAGTGAATTGCCTGAGCCCGCAGGTTCGTGACCCGCCTGGGCAGCGAGACCTCATCTCTACAATAAATAAAAAAATCAGCCGGGCGTGGTAGCCCTCACTCTGTCGCCCAGACTGGAGGGCAACATTGTGAGACCTCATCTCTGTAAGAAATACAACAATTAGCCGGGCTCAGTGGCTCAGCCTGTAATCCTGCACCTTGGGAGGCTGAGGTTAGTGGATTGCCTGAGCCCGTGGGTTCGAGACCTGCCTGGGCAACTTGGCAAGACCTCATCTCTATAATAAATCAAAAAATTAGCCAGGTGTGGTAGTGCGTGTCTGTAGTTCCAGCTACTTGGAAGGCTGAGGCGGAAGGATCGCTGGAGCCCAGTAGGTCGAGGCTGCGGTGGCCGGGAGCAGTCACCGCACTCCAGTCTAGGAGACAGAGTGAGACTCCAACTCAAAAAAAAAAGAAATACAACAATTAGCTAGGCATGTGGTGCATGCCTGCAGTCTTTGCATGCCTCTCACTTGAGAGGCTGAGACTCGAGGATCACTTGAATCCAGAAGGTCGAGGTTGAAGAGAGCCAGGATCATGCCATTGCACTCCAGCCTGGGCAACAGAGTAAGACCCTATCTCAAACAAACAAACAAACAAAACTAGCTGGGTATGATGGCCTGCACCTGCAGTCCCAGCTACACAGGGGGCTGAGGCAGAGGAAATCACCCAAGCACAGGAGCGTGAGGCCACTGTAAGCCGTGATTCTGCCACTGCACTCTAGCCTGAGCCAACAGAGTAAGACCAAAAAAAAAAGAAAACAATGATGTGGAAAGACATTTACAATCTATGATTAATTTGAGTAATATTACTAATTTAAGTAGTTTAGTAAAGCAGTATGACCTTATTTTTATAAATAAAGAAATACACATAATATAAATACATATAAAATAAAATTCCGAAAGAATATATACCAAAATGCTAAAGAGTGATTATCTGTGGGTGGTATTTTATCTGGGGGACATGCATCACTTTTCAGAGACAGAATACGTAACAGAAGAAGAAGAGGAGCCACTTACTTCAGGCAGAATAGCATGGTCTCATGCGTCCTGCAGGTCAGCAGGCTGTCAAAGAGTTCAGTGATGGGAAGGCTCCCAGCAGGGGCAAGAGGACCCGCATTCACGTCTGGCAGCACAGACCTGGACTCACCCAGGTGCACAGCCAGGGCGGCTAGACCCAGCACGTGCGAGGCATGCAGGGTTGGGCCCTGTAATGAGAGCAAGGGGAGGGGCAGAGAGACCTTTGAGACACACTGGGAGCAGCCACCTGGCCCAGAACAGCCCTGGAGGTGCTGCATGCAGCAGGAGCTCACCCGATGCCCACCTGATGACGCAGCAGCTGGCAGAGCCGGGAGAGCAGCGCAGGGAGTGCATATCCACACAGGGACTTCACAAAGAGGGTGGCCCAGCGGCCCTGCCTGTGGAGACAGCCGTGAGTCCATCAGCCCGGGTCTTTCACAGCCCTGCACATCTGTCCCATGAGCAGACTAGGCATGTAAAGCTCAGTCCCCCAAACCACAGCCTTCCTGGAACACAGACACAGTCTTCTGCTGTGTTCCTATTTGCGGAAACTTCGCATTGCCATCTGCTCTGAACTGCGTTCCAGCCTGGGCGATACCCCCAGTTTTAGAATGCCTGGCCCATGGTCTCAGTTCAGAAGCAGGAGGCACCCAGGTCAGCTCAAAACCATGCAGCGAAACGTCTGAGCCTTTACCTCTCTGGGGGGGCAAAGCTGGAGGCTGCCATCAGGTTCTGACAGAAAGACATCAGCAGGAGGTCCACAACCTGAGAAGACAGGGGTCCTGTGAGGCCAAGTGTCCCAAGGACGAGAGCACAAAGAAGCAAGCCCAAGTCCAGTTCACACCCGACACTGCTGCTTTGCCTTGCACATGGACATGCTGAACAGGCTTGCACTAGAAGAGCATGTCGCCATGAAAACAGGTGCCAAGGACACCCATTCCCAAATCCTGGGAATATGACAGGCCAAGTGCCATCATACAAACTCCAGCTCTGAAATTTTATAGCAGTGAGTGGGATCAGCAAACCCTGTCTATAAAGGGTCAAAAAACAAATAGTTTAGGCTCTGGGTCCATAAACAGACTCTGCTGCATATTCTCTAAAAGCATAAAAAGAGCCAGGGCAGTGGCTGGCTCACACCTGTAATAACAGCACTTTGGAAGACTGAGGCGGGAGGGTCGCTTGAGTTCAAGACTAGCTTAGGCAGCACTGTCTCTACAAAAAAATCAAAAAATTAGGCCTGGGCACGGTGGCTCAGCCTGTAATCCCAGCACTTTGGGAGACCGAGGCAAAAGGACTGCCTGAGCCCAGGGGTTCAAGACCAGCCTGGGCAACTTGGTGAGACCTCATCTACAATAAATCACAAAAACTGGCCAGGCATGGTGGCATGCATCTGTAGTTCCAGCTACTTGGAAGGCTGAGGCAGAAAGATTGCCTAAGCCCTGCAGGCCAAAACTGCAGTGGCCGTGAGCATGCCGCTGCACTCCAGCCTGGACAACAAGAGCAAGACTCCAACTAAAAAAAAATAAAAATTAGCTGGGCATGGTGGCATGCACCTGTAGTTCCTCCAGCTACTCAGGAGGCTAAGGTGGAAGAATTGCCTGAACCAAGGAGGTTGAGGCTGCAGTGAGCCATGATTACACCACTGCACTCTAACCCAGCCTGGGTGAAGAGTGAGACTCCAACTAAAAAAAACACATACATGCCTACATAAAAATAAAAGCATAAGAAAAGCTCTCTGTACACAAATAGGCTGGGGCTGCCGACCCTAATAGAATATTGCTCAGCCTCTGAACACCTGAATTCCCGTCTACCTAGCAAAACAAATAAAAATTAAAAGATTCTATGTCCTTAATCCTTTTTATATCATCTAAGAAACAGATGAGACTGATGCCTTATAATTTTGATATATATATTTTTTGAGTCAGAATCTTACTCTGTTGCCCAGGCTAGAGTACAGTGGCACACTCATGGCTACCACAGCCTCGACCTCCTGGGCTCAGGCGATCCTTCTGTCTCAGCCTTCTAAGTAGCTGGAACCATAGGCATGCACCACCATGCCTGGCTAACTTTTTGATTTTTTTTTTTTTTGAATTGGAGTCTCACTCTGTCGCCCAGACTGGAGTGCAGTGGCTGCTCCCAGCCACTGCAACCTCGCCTGCTGTGCTCTGGTGATCCTTACGCCTCAGCCTTCCAAGTAGCTGAAATTATAGGCATGCGCTACCACACCCAGCTGATTTTTTTATTTATTGTAGAGATGAGGTCTCGCTGCCCAGGTGGGTCTCGAACCCGCGGGCTCAGGCAATCCACTCACCTCAGCCTCCCAAAGGCGCGGGATTACAGGCTGAGCCACCGAGCCCGGCTACTTTTTGATTTTTTTGTAGAGACGAGGTCTCACCAAGTTGCCCAGGTCTTGAACCCCTGGGTGCAGTTAATCCTCTCAACTCCATGCCCAGCCAATTTTTAATTTTTTTAGAGACAGGGTCTCACTCTGTGACTCAGACTGGAGTGCAGTAGTGTGATAATGGCTCATTGCAGCCCAACCTCCTGGACTCAAACAATGCTCCCACTTTAGCCTTCTGAGCAGCGAAGACTACAGGCATGTACCAACACACCAGGCTAATGTTTTATCTTTTTTGTAGAGTGGGTCCACTATGTTGTCCTGGCCTCAAATAATCCTCCCACCTCAGTCTCCCAAAGTGCTGGGATTGCAGGCATGAGCCACTGTGCCTGACCCCTGGTGCTTGGTCTAAGGCACCCCACAAACCTTCTGTTCTTGTGGTTCGAGTTTTGGAGTGTCGACACTGAGCTGAATCTCTGACAGCTCAGTGCTGCCGTCATCTTTACTGTGATCCAGGATGGCCCTCAGTCTGTCAGAAATCACTGCCAGCTGAGTAGATATCACTGCAAACAGAGAAACCAGTTGGATGAGAAGGGAAATGTGGGATGGAGGGGTGCTGCTGGGGCCTGGAGCACACTCTCTGTGGAAGGCAGCACAGGCAGCATCTCTGGTCTCCCCCAGGTGCAACACCTCCACCCATCCTGCTGGCTGCATATGTCCCCCAGCCAGGCACCGAAAGCCAATGTTTCTTCACACTGCAGGCGGCACAGTAAAAATGTCAGGGGGCTCACAGCCTCAGGACACTGAGCATGTGCCTGGGCAGATGGGCCAGACACTGTCCACTACCTTTTCCTGATCAGCTGAGGGGCCGATGTGTTCCTTTACCAATACAAGCCTCCACTTCTTGCTTTCTCTATCTGAAACCCCATGCCAACTCTACCATGCACTGTAACATGTGTCTAAGCACACGCTGGAGGCTGTGTCTGCCAACAGCGACAGACCACATGTGGGCCCAGCTACACCACCTACCCACAAAAACCTCTGCTATTTTTAGAGACAGGACTGACCTGACATTTACCAATCTTTTCCTTAAGCACTGGAACTTTTCCTCAATGCCCACAGACACCACATTCTGCACAAGCACAGCTCTGAAAGGCTGTGGTCACAAATTCGTGCACTTGGCCTGAGTAAGGACCGTGTCTGGGGCACTGCAGCCTCAGCTGGTACCAAAGAAGTTTTGTCAACATTTTCTCCATGTTGACATGGCTCTGTCTTGGTTTGAATGAAACCAATTTGTAATAAATCAATACAGTTAATTAACAAGAATATGGCTAATTTATTTTAGATTCTGTATGTGTCATAATAAAACTCTGAAAGTACTGGAACTTAGTTGTTCTACTGTGGAATGCTAAGTTCTTCGACACTGTGCCTGTTCTTACACCACAGATAAGTACTTTATACTTATGTCTGTACAGAAAACCTTCATATCGAAGCAGGATCACAGGGCAGAGAACCTGAATGTCTGATGCTACATCTACTCAAGCAGTCAGGAAAGAATGTGTTTTAGTGACTTCACTCGTCATCTCTGTCCCACTCAGATGCCAAGTGGCTAAACGTCCACTGTCTGTCAGGGATGTGACAGTCGGAGTAGGACTGGTCTCCACCGTGCCTGGAAGAAGACACACCCTCCACACCCGCTGGCCTGTGGTCCCACTCCACTATCAAATGCTGGACCACAGGGAAGTCACACCAGCCACCATCACCATAGGGAAAACAAACTAGCCCCGAAGCCCCGACCACAAGCTGTCCACATGCACACAGGGCACAAGCTCTCCACCTGTCCTCACCATCACATCGGGTAGGGTCGACCATGGAGGCTCTCAGCTCTTCCAGTGCAGCTGTGAGCCGTCCCAGGGGCACCTCAGCACAGCCGGGTTCTGTCCTCGCTCCTGGGGCTGCATGGGAGGTGTGCAACTTTAACAATTAGGCCAAACACACATTCAACAGGACTGTTCACTGCAGAAAGAGAAATCTCATGAAGTCAAACACAAAACCACTGATCTCCAGGCTTCTTTGTGCAGATGGCAGACACAGCACCAGGAGTCAGTAAGAGGGCAAAGTGTGCTCTCTGACCTCAGATGCTGTCATATCAAAAATTAAAACATGGCTGGGTGCAGTGGCTCATGCCTATAATCCCAGCACTTTGGGAGGCTGAGTTGAGAGAACTGCCTGAGCCCATGGGTTCAAGACCAGCCCAGGCAATTTGGCAAGACCTCATCTCTACAATAAATCAAAAAATTAGCCGGGTGTGATGATGCACATCTGTAGTTCCAGCTACTTGGAAGACTGAGGCAGAAGGATCACCTGAGCCCAGTAAGTCGAGGCTATGGTGGCTGTGAGTGTGCCACTGCCCTCCACCCTGGACAACAGAGTGAGATTCCAAAATAATAATAATAATAATAATGCCCTCCAGCCTGGACAACAGAGTGAGATTCCAAAATAATAATAATAATAATAATAATAATAATAATAATAAATAAAACATTTTTAGGCTGTGAGCAATGTCTCACACCTGTAATCTCAGCATTTTGGGAGGCCAACGGGAGAAGATTACTCAAGCCCAGGAGTTTGAGACCAGCCTAGGCAATATAAGAGAGACTTCAAGCCGGGCTCGGTGGCTCAGCCTGTAATCCTGCGCCTTTGGGAGGCTGAGGTGAGTGGATTGCCTGAGCCCGTGGGTTCAAGACCCGCTTGGGCAACTTGGCGAGACCTCATCTCTACAATAAATCAAAAATTAGCCAGGTGTGGTAGCACACGCCTGTAGTTCAGCTACTTGGAAGGCTGAGGTGGAAGGATCACTGGAGCCCAGTAGGTTGAGGCTGTGGTGGCCAGAAGCGGCCACTGCACTCCAGTCTGGATGACAAAGTGAGACTCCAACTCAAAAAAAAAAAAAAAGAGAGAGAGACTTCATCTCTACAAAAAATAATAATAATTCAAACATTTTTAAACAAGTTTAATTAAAAAGGTGGTCCTGTGTACAACACGGCCATGACTGTAAAAAGCACATTCATTAAAGGAGAAAAGATAAGAGGCATAGCCCACAAGAGCAGAGGCAGTTTCAGACAGGTAACGACTCAGTCCCTGCTCCTCAAGTCTCTAAGTCACATGTTCTACTGTTTTTACATTAGGATGTGAAAGGATGAGAGTCAGTATACAAGAAAATTACCAGTTCTCAACATACAATTAATAAATAGGTTTACTAAAGCAAGTCTAGACATGATTACATATTTGCAAAATATACTTATTCAAACCTCTAACACCCCATTCTCAATACAAAAAGGAAGATACATTGCATTTTTCTAAAAAAAGCAAAATAAGTTCATGTTCTGGGGTTACTGGGCACATGGGCTTCACCCAAAATCACAGAAGCCATGGCTTTGTGCATAAGCCCTGCCAGAGAGATGACCCGAACATATCCCACAAGCCCCCAAAAGGAGGAACAAGGGTTACGAAGGACCGGGGTTAAGGAGGACAGCTCCTGTGAGGACAAAGTCCTGTGGTTTCCCCAGCACAGCAGAGAGGTTTTCAATGCTGGTCCACACAGATAAGTTGGGGACCTTCGACCTTTACCCACGGAGGATTCCTGGATCTCCATCCATGGTTATTGGAAATCTTCCAAGCTTATGAAAGGAGGATTTTTGTTAACAGGACTGCAGCTAATTAGAATAGTCTCACTCAGCCTGCCTGGCCCTGTAGGCATAAAGGGGCTCTAAAAAGGAAACACAAACACTGCTTCCTTTTGTAGAGACTCCAAGAAAAAGTGGTGTCACAAAAAACCGGGCCCCCTCCTGATGGCATCTCTCACTGTGGCCTTGTTAGTCACAGAGCCTAAGGCACTGGGAAGAGAGAGGCACAGTCACCAGTGCAGTACTGCACGGATTCACAGCTAGGTCACACATGTAACTCTGGCCTCGTCACGGCTCTCTAGAAGCAGCAAGAGCTCAACCCCTAGAACCAGGGGAATGTCTGAACAGAGATGAGTTGGCTCTATGCCACTGCAACATGCTTCAGAATCAGCCGTCTAAAGCCTGCATGCCTAACACACCACAGCCCCAGCCAGGCACACAGAAAAAGGCAAGAAACAGAGAAGGATTGTACTCCACACAGTACTGTCTAGAAAGGGCCAAATTAGATTATGTTTCAGGACCTCCCAGGAAGAGCCTGTGAGGTCCTTCCCGGTGCCATGGCTGGCCCTGAGCACTGGTGTCGAGGGCCGACTCCAAATCCACCGATCCAGCCCAAGTCAGCACAGCCTCACACAGTTCACTGCTGCAGTGCTGGATGGCAGACATTCCCTATCAGGGAAACGGAAAGTCCAAGCCACAGTCAGGAGAGCCCAGGAATGTACCTTCTGGCGTCTTCTCTTGAGCAGTGGAGCAGGTCTGGCAGTAGGTGGAATACAGAGATGGGGGAATTTTACCTGCTCTGGATCAAATGAAAACAATAAAACCAAGTTGACTATGACTCATACTAATTCTCAGGTTCACAATTCCAATATATATATATATATATTTATATTTTTTTTTTGAGTTGGAGTCTCACTCTGCCACCCAGACTGGAGTGCAGTGACTGCTCCTGGCCACCGCAGCCTCGACCCGCTGGGCTCCGGCGATCCTTCCGCTTCAGCTTTCCAAGTAGCTGGAACTACAGGTGTGCGCTACCACGCCCGGCTAATTTTTTTTTTTGATTTATTGTAGAGATGAGGTCTCGCCAAGTTGCCCAGGCGGGTCTTGAACCTGCGGGCTCAGGCAATCCACTCACCTCAGCCTCCCAAAGCGCTGGGATTACAGGCTGAGCCACCGAGCCCGGCTCCAAAAGATATTACAAAATAAACTTAAGTACAAACACTGTGTACAGTATGGTCCCATTTTTATGAAAAAAAAGAATCACATACGTGATTTTTAAATATATATATGTCTTTTTATTTTTTTGAGGCGGGGTCTCATTCTGTCACCCAGGCTAACGTACAGTGGCACGACCACAGCTGACTGAAGCCTTGACTACCTGGGCTCAGGTGATCCTCCCGCCTCAGCCTCCTAAGTAGCTGGGACTATAGGCACACACCACCATGTCTGGCCTTTTTTTTTTTTTAAGTTGGGGTCTCATTCTGTCGCCCAAGCTGGAGTGCCGTGACAAGATCAAGTGATCTTCCTTCCTCAGCCTCCTGAATAGCTAGAACTACAGGCACATGCCACCATGCCCGGCTAGTTTGTATATTTTTTGTAGAGCCACAGTCTTGCTATGTTGTCCAGGCTGGTCTTGAACTTCTGGGCTCAAGCAATGATCCTTCTCTTGGCCTCCCAAAGTGCTGGGATTACAGGCGTGAACCACCACACCCAGCCAATATATCATATTAATCATACATCAATATCTGTAAAGTTAGACCACAAAATACCAACCATGTGGACAGTAAGATTATGAATTATTTTTATTTTTCTTATTCATTTTTGGTAATTTCCAAATTCAAAAAATGAATTTATATTACTTTTAATAAGTAATACTATTAAATAAAACAAATAATGCCCCTAACTATGCAGAGTTATAAAAACCAAGGCTTGCAATGAGGATGCAGTGGCATTTCCAGGAGCTGGTGCTGATGACTCATGGGAGTGATGATAACACCAGCAGGATGCAAGGTGAGGATGTGTGGACAGGCTGCATGGCCCGGAAGGTGCCACTCCTGCAGATGCCAGTCACGAGGCAACACATATGGGAGTGGGGGAGCTCTGCATCTCCACACAAACAGACCTGTCACACCTGCACCAGAGCCTTCCAGGGTGGACTGTGCGGCTCAGAGACCAGCACTGAAAATACACACAGGAGGCCAAGGTGGAGCAGCACACACATCCTGACAAGAGGTGCTGGGATGGTCTCCAAAGCATGCTGCAAACCAAGGCAGACAAGATACAGACAGAGAAGCATGAAGGCACAGTTGTGCACAAAAGGAAGACTCCGCCACACTGGACCAGAGTTAAGGCAGTGGATGCACAGCCTGGAGAGCAGGAATCAGGTGCAAAAGCCTTCAGCTTGGCCAGGCACGGTGGCTCACGCCGGTAAACCCAGCACATTGGGAGGTGGAGGCAAGAGGACTGCCTGAGTCCAGGGGCTCGAAACCAGCCTGGGTAACATGGCAAGACTTCGTCTCTACAATAAATAAAAAATCAGCTGGGTGTGGTGGCATGTGCCTGTGGTGTCAGCTACTTGGAAGGCTGAGGCGGAAGGATCACCTGAGTCCAGCAGGCCAAAGTTGTGGTGGCCGTAAGCGTGCCACCGCATTCCAGCCTGGGCAACAGAGTGAGACTCAAAAAAAAGAAAAGAAAAAGAAAGCCTTCAACTTAAAAAATAAACTGGCCAGGCATGGAAGCTCACACCTGTAATCCCAGCACTCTGGGAGCCCGAGGCAGGAGGACTGCTTGAGTACAGGAGTTCAAGATCAACCTAGGCAATATAGCACAACCTTGCCTCTATCAAAAAAAAAAAAAAAAAAAAAGTCAGGTATGAGAGCACTTGCCTGTAGTCCCAGCTAACTGAGAGGCTGAGGCCAGGAGGTCACGGCTGTGCTGAGCTGTGATCATGCCACAGCACTCCAGTCTAGGTGACAGAGTAAGAACCTGTCTCAAAAAAAAAAAAAAAAATCTCAGAGAGGTGAGGCAAAACGCCATAGCTATGAAATAAGAATAGATTGCCATAGGTCGGGCATGGTAGCTCATGCCTATAATCCCAGCAGTTTGGGAGGCAGTGGTGAGAGGACTGCCTGAGCCCATGAGTTCAAGACCAGCCTAGGCAACTTGGAGAGACCTCATCTTTACACTAAATCAAGAAAAATTAGTCAGATGTGATGGTGCATGCTTGTAGTTCCAGCTACTTGGAAGGCTGAGGCAGAAGGATCACCTGAGACCAGCAAGTTGAGGATGCAGTGGCCATGAGCATGCCACTGCATTCCAGCCTAGGTGACAGAGTGAGACTCTAACTCAAAAAAAAGGAAAAATACACTGCAAGACAGACACACCATACTGACTCTAAGTCACACACTGTGATGTGTACGTGTGAGTGTGCACACACCAGCATAACTTACAGATATAAGCACATGTAATAAAGAAACTACAATACAGAGGAAACACGTATGTACCAGCTCCAGGATGATGGTTTCCTTGGAGATGGAAAAAGGCCATGGGATCAGGGAGCTGAACTAAACATTATTCAACTGTTTTATTTCATTAGATATAAAGCAAAGATAGCAAAAATATGGGTGGGGGTACTTGGGTGTTTTTAAAATTGATGTTTTAAATTGGTCTCTGTACTTTTGTATATCTTTGAAACATTTTATATCAAAAACAAATAAAAATAAGGGCGGGTGTGTAATCCCAGCACTTTGGGAGGCTGAGGTGGGAGAATTGTTTAAACTCAGGAGTTCAAGACCAGCGTGGGTAACACAGTGAAATCTCGTCTCCTTTGAATCTTCTTATAGGTCCCCGAACTTTAAAAGTTTTGCCAAAAAAAGGATTTATCATTTCTATTTCTTCCAAGATGAATTTTGAGACACCAACCAGCTCTCTTACTGGATGCCCACAATGTAAAAGAGCCTCATTATTCTAAACAAGAACACCCAGTCTGCTCAAAGATTGTGCAGTGTGAGGCATTCTCAGGGCTCTTTGATTTTCCTTCTTTGCTTAAATTCTCCTCTTTTCACAATGATTATGTACTGAGACATTAAATTATTTGATTCCCACACCTAGCAGTTCACTGAAGAATTATGCTAGTGGAGATAATCAGAATCAAGCAAATTTTGTTTTAATAACCATAACCAACTAATTTTGAAGCCAAAAATTTAAAAATGACTTTGGTGATAAAACAAATTTTCCTACTAGAGAACCAAGCTCTTTGCATCATAAAAACCCACTGGAAACAACAAGTAGCCATTCTTGATGCTCTCCATACCTCTTCAGAGACTCTATGAAAGCCACTCGAGAGTCAGGGACTGCCGGGAGCTGTGAAGAGAGGACAACCCAGTGAGCGCCAACAGGGAACACCCTTGCTCCCTACAGACCTGGCTGTGAACTTAAGAGATTTGCATACAGACCACTCGAGGTATGAGCAGGGCAGGAAGAAAGTGAGACATGTAGTAGGGCCTCCTGAAGATGCTGCAACACAGAAAAGCAGACAACGCCTCAGTGAGTACAGCAAGAAGGGCAATTCCACAGACAACTGCTGATATTTCAGAGGGTGGCACCATGGGGCTCTTATTTCTTTCTTTCTTTCTTTTTTGAGTTGGCGTCTCACTCTGTCACCCAGACTGGAGTGCAGTGGCCACTCCCAGTCACCGCAGCCTTGACCTGCTG